CCCCCCCCGCCGCCACAGCAGCTCGGGGCGGGGCTTCTGTGGGGCATCGCCGGGGGGAGGGGCTTCCGTGGAGTGGGGGAGGCGGGTAGTGGGTGCCCCATCCCCTGCTGGGCACGGAGGAACCAGGAAACAGCAGGGAAGGAGATGCCCTGTGCTGCCCCCAGGCTGCTTGGGTAGGGGTAGGGGTAGGAAGGGTCTCTCTCCTGCCTGGGGGTTGGGACTCTGACCTCTGGAGGTCTCTTCCAGCCCCACTTGTTCCTTCTTGTTCTCCTGTGGGCTGGCCCAGGTGGAGCTGTTTTGCACGTTCAGTGCTCTACACCTTGCACAAGGCAAAACTTTGCAAGGTCAAATATGCATTGGATGAAACAAGCCTCTGGGCAGCAAGAGCTGGATCCAGCCAAGGGCTGCCATATTAGGGCCCTAAGTCCAGACTGTCAGTGGTTCTCAGGTGCTGTCTCCTGCTAACTCGCACCCCTCTGCAGAACTGTCTGGATCCTGACAGCACTGGGTGCATCTACATGGTCAGCACAGTGACTTAGTTACTGCCTGTTTAGTTGACTACTTGTTTAATGAAGTAGTAACTAAATGCGTAGTAACTGGAGTTACTGCAAAATAGCACGGGCGCACGGTTATTTTGTGATGCTGACTGCGCATTAGCCTAATAACACTGTGCAGTAGGCTGTTAGCACGGTTCCTAACTGCCACACTGCTGCACAGTGCTATTAGGCTAATGAGCAGTAAGTGTCTCGTGTAGATGCACCTACTGGGTAGCAGTGTGCCAACTGTCATCCTAGTGGGGGAGTCTCTGTGCCTCTGATGCTCGGGTGCATCCACTGCTGAGTTGCTGGATGCTGGTGGATGGGTCTGAGCTGTCCAGTGAAGTAGTGTGTGTGTGTGTGTGTGTGTGTGTGGGTGGGTGGGTGGAGGATGAGTTATTTGGCCTGGCTTGGACATTGGGTGGCAGGCATTGGTTGGTAGCATGGGCCATGCGCATTGCTAAAGGGCTCAGGCTCTGAGGCTTTAGATAGGGTGGTTGCGCCCCTTACTGACCATTTAAATGAGGTACCTAAAGCATGAGCCTTTGGGAGGACGTCAGTCCCAGCTGAAGGTGCAGTTTTGCCCAAACAGAACAAAACAAAAAAGTTCACAAACTAAGGGCATTTATGCACATGCTCTGGGAGTGGGGCAGGGGGCACTTTAATTAGAATGACTCCAAGAGCTGCTCTAATTAAAGCACCTAGAATGTCATGTGTATCAGCATCCCCATGCTGAAAAATGCTGGCAGGGGCACTTTAATTAAAACGTGCCAAACAAGCTTTAAAGCACCTCTGGCATCATTTTTCAGCGTATGGATGCTGACACGTGTGATGCTGGAGTTTGGTGGATCACAGTAATTGTCATGCTTTGGCAGACTGGATTAAATGAGTCTGTTCCAATGCGCTGTAATTACAGCATATCAGAGCAGCCTCTCTGCATGTGTATAGGCACTCTAAAGTTCCAGTGTCAGCGTGATTTGTTCAAGTGGCAAAAACAGTAGTGTGAAGGGGGATGTTCAGGGGTAAATCTGCAACTGCTGAGGCTGCTAAGGTAGCTGCTATGATTGCTGTCATGGAAACAAGAAGGAAGAGCCCTTATGTTTTTAGCTTGTTCTTTAGACAGTGCCATGGCCAGTCAGTGTTATTGTCATCAGCTGGTCACTTTTACTGCTGTATGACATGGGCTTGTACAGACTACAGGGGAGGCCATAAATCAGGGAAGTAGGCATGAGGGTTGGGCAGATGTTATAGCATCTGAAATGACTGAACTGTCTATTTTTGGAAGTTGATGATCTGCTTCTAAAGGCAAGGTGATGATCGGTCATTTTCGTTGTCAGTGGGACAAACAAATCTATTTTCACTTAGTTGAAAAATTCAAGAAGCAAATGTGTAATATAACAGTGAGATGTAGATAAGATTTTTAATACTTTTGGCTTTGGTAAAACAAACAGAGATATTTGGATTCTTCTTTTGTTTTGTTTTGTTTTGTTTTGGATTGTTTGTATCACTATGACCAGGTACCCTTTTGTTCTTTCTCTTGTTTATATCTCTTAGATTCTTATGTGGCCTCTTCTGTAATACAGGAGCACCTCATCTTACTTTATTTGCCCTCATGTGGGTATTATTATCCTTGTTTGACAGATGGGGAGCTGAGATGAAGTTGCACTAAGGGACTTGTCCACATTCAGAGAAATCTGGCAGAGCAGATAATCAAACTGATGGCTCTCAAGTCATGGACTAGAGCCCTAACCACTGGACTGTTCCGCCTGTCTAATTATGTATCTTTACAGTGCACTCCATCCAAGTTTGTATCTCGTAGCCTGAAAATAATCTAGTCACTCGCTTGGGGTATGTATGTATTTATTTGAATTTAAGCACTGTCAAGGTTGTGGCATTAAGCACTCCCAAAATGGATTAGTTTCCTTCATTTTCAAGGTGTCTAATAGCTGTTAGATAGCTGCTTCCTCATTCTAGCCTAGTTACATAGAGTATAGTTAAGTGACAAAATAGTGGGGTTGAAAGAATGCTACACTTCAGTGGTTTATGCCTTTAATTGTTGTGTAGGTAACTGGAGTTTGTTACAATGTGAGCAGTTGGCCACATGTTGGGACACTGGAGTTTGTTACAATGTGAGCAATTGGCTGCATGTTGGGACTGGCATTATGTCAGACAGATAAACAAATTGTACATTTACAGAATACATTGTATTACCTTCTGTGTAACAATTCCTGAACCTTGAATTATAGTTGAGGCTGCAGAGAAGGCCCCTGCCCTACAAATCCTTCTGAAACTTCATTTTTATATGAAGTCACTGAGGTTGCTCTCAGGAAGAAAGTTAACACCTGCATATGTGCTTGCAGCATCAGAGCCTTTTTGCTTGTTTTTTATTTCAGAAAATGTTTAAAGACAAATGTTTGTTGAAGTATGGTGGAGCACTGTCTAGGGGCTAGTGTAGGAACGTGGCTTCTAGTCTGTACCTTGGCCCTGGCTTGCTTTGTGACCTTGGGTAAACTGCAAAGGGTTTGTCTTCACTACAGGATTACCTTTATTTTACAAGATGAAGTCTCCTGTCCATGTGGTGAAATATTAACTGGAGTGTGACAAAGCTTTCACTGAAGTTTGGCTAACCCAGTGGTGTACACCTTGAATTAGCACAACTCATCATCAATTAACACAGTTGCTCTGTAGAACTCAAGTGTTGGTTTGCATTGTGGCTGGTTTTACTTGAATGAGATTAATTAGGGAAGAGGTAGTTTTAAGTGTAACTCCAGTTAATTCTTACTCTTTTAGCCTATGTGTTTGATTGACTTAATCATTTCAGAATGACTAAAACATATTTGTAAAAACTAGTGCCAACCTTTTAGGCAAAGTCTGATGAAGATGACATACCCATAATGTTTTTCTCTCATCTGGATAGTGTAAAAAAATGGTTGCTTGATGTTTAAGAGCTTGAGAGTCCTTTTAGGTTCTCTGAAAGGATCTTGGTAATTTAATATTATTTTTAAATGTTTGACCAACAAAATCAAAATAATAAGTGATTTACAATGGTGAAGTCGTGCATTTGTTTTTGGTTTTACTTAAGATGTATGAACAGGGATGATTTGCCCTTTTCCACCATCACTTTTCTGATTTTGTCTGTAGTTTAGGCTAGAAACTCGACCATTTTTTACTTTTTTCCTGAGATAAACTGTAAACTACCATATTTACTCAAATATACGGCAATTCCTCCCTCTGCTCCCCCCCCCCGCCCCCATCAGCATGGGTGTCATCGAGCTCCTGCTAGAAGCAGCATGTGCTCAGTCATGGAAACCAGCTATGAGGTTGATTGAATGCAGCCCATGCAGAGCGTGCTCATAAAGCACATGGCCCAACCCATTGCTGGGGACCTACCATAAAGCTAGGTTAGTGCAGCCCATCTGAATAAGATATAGTGCCCATTGTGCTCAGTCGCCTTCCATGCCAACTCGTTTTTCAAGTCGCAATGAACCACTACATCAAATACATTTCAGGGTGGATAAAAATCAATGTTTAAAAAAAAAATCAATAAATTGGATTTTTATTTAAATCAGATTTTTTGATTTAATTGTATTTTTTGATTTTTAAGATGCTTTAAAAAAATAAGCATGTATAAAGATAGTTTTAATATAAGATATGTTAAAGCTTGAAGTTATCATCATGGAATAGAGATTATAACTTCTAATTATATTATTTGAGACAATATATTCATATAACCTTTTTAGAAAAGTTTTATAAATAGGTCACAACAGGCCATGAACTATATTAGGGGCCCAATCATTTGGGGTTCAATCCTCTGTAGCTTAGTAAAGAGTTAAAAAAAAAACCAACACTTTACCCAATGGGACTCAGTGCTCAGTCTAGAAGGTCCCATTAAGCATCTCTGTGATGCTTAGTTTCAGTTCTCAAACCATGGATTTGTGTCCCCAGAGATAACATCCTTCTTAACAGCAGTATATGGAGATGAGAGATAACAGACCTGATTACCTACCCATCAGCCCTCTTGTCTCTCTGCAGGTTTGTGTACACAAGAATCAAGTCCTTACCTCTCTCTAAAAGTGCAAAGTTTCAAGAAGTTAAATGAGTAGAGGATATCAAACAACAAGAATGTACATTTGTAGGAAACAGTGATTGAATCAAGGCTTCCTGACTGGTGATTTAAATTGATTTGACTTAAATCAAATCCACCCTGACACATTCTGACTTCCTCTTAACTCCTACAGCCAACCAGTGCCTTTCTTTCCCATTTCTGCTGATTCCTAAGAGACACTGTGGCCCCTTCTCTCGGCCTGTTGCATGTGATTAATGTAGCCTCACCCTCTGTTGGGTGGAGACAGACCAAGCAGCCCTGCATCTCACCTGCATATACATTTTTGGAGAGTCCCAGGACTTGTGACAAGAACACATAGCTCCAGTTATGACTGGGGGGGGTCTAATTAGTACATGGTCCTCTGGGGGTGTGTCTGGAGTACACATGTGTAGTGACCAGTGCTGGGTTGTGGGATCACCTAGCTTGAAATGCTGTTGATTTTGCTGGGGCCCAGCCTAGTGAACTACAGGCAGTCCTTGACTTACAACGTTTCACACTTAAAATATTTCTCAATTGATACCCTGTTTCAACTTTGCGATGCTAGTTTTGACTTTTACAACGCTTGATTCGATGTGACGCCATACCAGCGAACAAGTTTGCTGCATCGCTCATCTCCCTGGAGAACATCTGTCCAAACTTCCTTGGACACTTTCTTTAAGAAAGCAGACAAGTCTCTAGAAGAACCTGCAGCCAAGGCTCCTGAGAAGACTTCAGCCAAGAACTCTTCAAAAAGTCTAACCAAGAGGCTTTCAAAAAGTCCAGCAATGACACCTCAAATAAGTCCTTCCAAACCAATATGATTGCTATTTATAATATAAATACATTAATGTAACTATATTACTCATCTATAATTCATTGAGAACAAAATTCTGTGGTATTTTTGGTGAAAATAGAGTATCAGGCCTTGGTTCAGGAACCAATCCCCTATTTATAACATTGTTTCTTATGAGAAAATTGGTTCCAAGTTGCAATGTTTCAACTTAAGACACGGTTTTCAGAAACCAGTTGTGTCATAAGTCCGAGGACTGCCTGTATATGATAAGTCATGAGCCATTCCATTCTGGACTAGTATCTGTACTTCTGGACTTCATACTATATAAAAAAATAGGTACAAAAGTGGTGCTCAAAAGTGTGTTTATGGAGTACCTGTGCTGAAATTTGCAGCAGTCAGGATTGGAACCACAGCAGGCTCCTGTTTCCCTCTGCAGCTTCTGCCCTCCTCGCTGTCCTTTTCCTTCCCACCTCTCACCCCTTACTGTCACATGCAACTTATTTCCACACTTTGCTTGGGGAAGGAACAGCCGGAGCAGGTTCTGACTGTAATGAGAGGGTGGAGACAGGAAGGCTGTGGAGGGAAGCTGACAAGGCAGAGGGCACCCCCTCAATGCTATTTTTCCTGCTATAGCAGTGGGAGGGGGGCTGAATTAAAGACAGCACTCTGATAACTCGATTCTATACCTGGAAAATTATAACAAATGGAAAATTTTCCATATATAGAATCTTATTTTTGTGTGTGTGTGTGTGTGTGGGGGGGGGTCGGGGGGTCATCTTATATTTGGGGTTGTCTTGTATTTGAGTAAATATTCTGATGCTGGAAAGTAGACAAGTAGAACTTGAGAGGACAATTACTTCTATTGGGTGATTTAAAACTTTGAAATTTAATTGTTGGAGGAATGTTTCAAAGATAGATTTTGATTCCATGAGTTCATTCTTTCTGTGAAGATTTGGGAATTCAGAGTTCTGCAAAGACTAGGTTTTGGCCTGCTAGATGCATTTAACATTCTGCTTCTCCCTCTTCCCCCAAACTTTCGCATTTTAATATACCATGAGGAAGCAAAAAGTTCCTCCAGAACTCCAGTTTCAAAGGTTACCATTTTACAGTGAATTAAAGAGGTTTTTAAAACTTGTTAGGATTTCTGTTCTGAAATTCAGTGGTTTATATTTTTATTCTGGAACAGTTGATTACAGAATCAATGCTTTAACATAGTAGAGTGGTTTCACTATTACCTCATTGTGAGTGTCAGTCACCAGTTTTTTACGTTATAAGTCTTGGCATTCTTTAGAAGTAATAAGAACTTTACTTAAACTAATTAAGATAAAACACTTTCAAGTGAATGTGGTATGTATGCAGGAGAGTGACTTACATTTTGGTTAAACTAGTTTCTAAATACAGTTTTTATCTGTGTGCAAGACATTAGTTCTTTAGGACAGATACTAGTGGAAGCTTGATTCTCCCCAAATATAACATCTGAACTTTTTTGCAGTTGCCTGGAAGTTGGTTACCTGGAGCAGCTTTAGAACTGAACTGAAGGACTTAAGTTATTTTAAGTGTTTTAGATTCCCATGCAGTATACAGGAGTATATATCTTTACCAAAACTTTGGAGCACAGGCATATAGATCTATATAATGGGGTGGTGTTGGACACTTCCAGGAGGAGTTTTCTCAGGATCCATTCTTCCTGCTTTCAGTTTTAATGGTGAAATTGTGTACCTCCTCCCTCTTCTCACC